ATGGAACAATGTATATATAAATGCACTTAGGCTGTGCATATGATATTGCAATTGAAAGATATAATTGTAATTTTGCTAGTTGTTTATGACACAACTATTACCATTACATTCAATAATATCCAGGAATTATGATTAATGAGTAACATTAGTACAAAAAGCTATACTAAGAATCCTGTATCGTGTGCTTTGGGAGGAGGTAATGGGGGGTGACACCATGAGTTACCGCACTGGGTGACTCCAACCCTAGTGACGCCACTGATTGGGAGTGAACTTTAGTACACAGAGTGCTCTATACCAGGGGTAGGCAACCTTTCCCCTTTAAGGGCCGAGGGATTTCAGCTCCCAGAATCCCAGGAGCTGTTGGCCAACATGGGACTATTGGGCAACATGGCTGAGGCTTCTGGGAGCTGAAGTCCCTCAGCCCTTAAAGGGGAAAGGTTGCCTACCCCTGCTCTATACTTTCAAGTGAATATGTGTAGAACTGGGTTGTAAATCTTGCAGTAAATATCTAGCTGCTTTGTGACTCCCCTCCCCATTCTTGCATTCAAGATTTCCTCTCCTTTAGGTGCAGTGGTTGATCAAGATGCTTTGGTAGAAGCACTCCAAAATGGGGTTATTAGGGCTGCAGCTTTGGATGTGACATACCCGGAACCACTGCCAAGGTAAACTTATATGGAATAAATGGAGATAGTATATCTTTATTGGTCCAGCCATTATTCTGTATATACAACAACATCAGGCATAAATGGTCTTGCCTAATCTCCCCCCCCCCTTTACCTTTTCTGATCTCCTTTGTTCTTCAGTCAATATGAACTCCTCTAACATCACTATTATTATTATTATTATTATTATTATTATTATTATTATTATTATTATTATTATTATTAGGTACATACATTGGCAGTATTGAGAATCCACAAGACACTAGGAAGCTGACTCACAAATGAGCACTGTGATGGTGCATTCTCCCAATTCACTCTAGCCTGCAATGTGAATAGCTCAACAAATCACAAAGCTTTACTCTGTGGTTTATTGATTCTGATATCCAGATACAGCAACACCTACCTTGCTCTCTGCCTTGTTTCTCCATAATGTGCTAGAGAAAGAAACCACAGGAGAAAGCCTGTGGATTCTTTCTCTGGCTTGTGTGTGTGTGTGGTGGTGGTGGTGGTAGTGGTGGGAACAGATCAGCATGCCAGCTGTTGATGGGTTCAGACATCATAACAATAAGCCAGCTTAAGAACATGACTAGGAAGGTGCACCAGCTCACTGCTCATTTTCAATAAGCCAGGGTTCCCACAGGTCCCTGGTTTATTGTAATATCTGAATATTCTTTTTGGATTTCTGTTAAATGCTTATCCTTGGATTTTGCAATGTGTGCAGAGGTATATGTACATGTCAGTTATATATGTGCCATTGGGCGTCACTAGAGTTGCAGAGGGGGTCCAGGCTTCACTAGGTGACACCCTAAGGAGGAGTGACACCAGTGCTCCCCAGGCATCTGCATTTTGGCAGAAATGGGTTGTGGTGGTCACCTGTATCCCTTTAAAATGCTGAAGCCAAGCAGAAGAGAAGATGTGAGTGGAGCGAGGCTCAGTAGAAGGAGAAAGGAGAGGCCTCATGTTTTTAAATTTTTTTAAATTAAATTTAACGGTTTTTTAAATTAAATTATTGTTTTTAAATTTTCTTTAAAAACATCACATCTTACCAAACTTTCACCTTAACCACATAAAACAATGTAATATAAATAATTTAGGCTGTGTGTATGATATTATAATTTAAAGATATAATTTTAATTTCGCTAGTTTATGTCACAACTATTACCATTACATCCAGTGATATATGGGAATTACAATTTATGATTAACATTAGTACAAAAAACATTACTAAGGATTCTGTATGGTGTGGTATGGGAGAAGGTCAAGGGGAGTGACACTGTGAGTGGAGACATCAGGTGATGCCAAGTCTAGTAATGCCATTGTGTACTATCTGTACACAACAGTATAGCAGGCTCAGAGCAAGGGCAGTTATTCTTGTCCCTACCTCTTATCAATGTTTGAGCTTCTTTTCTTCCTAGAATCTCTAAGTCCTACACTCCTGTCATATTTTATTATTTATTTTTCCAAAAAAAAACAAACCTCAGTTTATTGATTGAATAAAGAAAGCTAAAGTAAATAAATATATACAGCTTTACTCAGAATTGCACAATACATTTTCCATACAGAATTAGAGAAGATTTTTGAGATGGATGTTCAGAGAACAGACAACTTCATTCCAAACTTTCTAACAGTGCCTAGATACAAATATTCCTAAAGCTAATTCCTATTTTGATTGCTAGTATCATCAGCACGAGAGGTAGAGCTACTGAGGTGCCAAATTCACAGCATTAAAGCTGTTGATATGTTCTTTTTCAATTTGTTTCCGACTTATGGTGACCCTATTATGGGGTTTTCTTGGCAAGATTTGTTCAAAGGGCATTTGTCATTGTCTCCCTTTGAAGCGAATGTGATTTGGCAATGTGATTTGCCAAACCCAGTAGGTTTCTTTAACTGAGTGGGGATTCAAACCTCACCAGAGTCATAGTCCAATGCTCAAACCATTACACCACACTGGCTTTATGTGGTGTAGTGATTTGAACATTGGACTACGAATCTGGACAGCATTGGGTGACATTACACAAGTCCTCCTCTCTGAGCCCCAGAGGAAGACAATGGA